ATGTTTTTTTGAATGGTTCTTTTATCTTCATAGTATACAGAAAGTTTCTTGGACTCTGTCCAAGTGGGCTCTGGGACAGTGACTCAGCATGTTGAAGGCTTATATTTGAGCTTTATGTTCATTAAATCTTGTCTTTAATAGAGCTCAGAGCCATAGCATTACAAACCATTAGCCACAGAAGAGGTCTAAAAATAATCTGTGGAGAAATTAGCAGCACAAAAAACAGTGGAGCTCCCACAGATGATGATTTTTTTCCTTCTTTTTTTGTTAAATATAATTTGGGTGCCACATGGAGCCATTACAAACCATACCAAAAGCAAAAGCAATGACTGACTGACTCAGAAAAAAAGCTGCCGTCATTTACTATTACTATAGATATTATTTAAAAATACACAACCCATCAGATTGGTAATCTGTTGTGTTTTAGCTTGCCACCATCAGTGTGTGAGTGTGTGCGTGAATGGGTGAATGAATGTAGTGTAAAGCACTTTGGTCAAGTCTCCTGACTTGAATAAAGGCGCTATATAAGTACATGCCATTTACCATTTTACAAAAATATACTTCAGACCAGAAAAGCTAAATGCATCGACATCATCTCACACTATTTGGTTTTGCATTGTTATAAAAGGCAGAGTATATAAAAGGAACCAGATAATCTGCATCACATTTACATTCAAAGTACTGAAATTAAATAATGGTTCCTGAACATCAAGTAATGCTTTAAGGAGCCTAAACTATGTAGAGTAATTTATTGCTGACTTAACAAGTTTAAATTGACACAAAAAAAAAACTACACACTAATATACAAATACACTTGCCTTGCCTTACCTTAAGTCATCACCTATGAATTCAACTCAGTGACTACAGGGAATATATATCCAAACTGCAGACTTGAACAGCACTGTACAGCAACAGGTAGGGGAGGGGCTCCAAAGAGTTAGCTGCAGATTCTCCAGGAATTAACAACAACTTTTTAAAGCCTTGCGTATCTTTGTAATTTGTGTTGTTGAGTGGATTAGTCTTCCACCCATGGATGCTAACAGAACATTTTGAATAAATATGATGATCTCAAAAATAAAATTTTTCTAGCCTGTAAGTGTTGCTCTTTCTATACTGCTTGTCAGCTGGGTTAGCATAAGCAGACCTTAGCAAAAAAAAAAAACTTGCATATTATTCTTAATAAAGATTAATAAAGAAAACAAAAGTAAAAATTTTTATTTTTATTTGTCCAATAAAAATAATGCAGAAATCGGGAGTTTTCTAATTATACCCCCACCTCTGGCCAAAATACAGAACTGCAGCTTGTTCTTGTAACTCACGCTCGTACTTTAACAGGATTTTTTTCCTTTTTCACCTTATCTAGAGTTGTCATTGGTGTCTGAGTTAAGCTGAATTCTGGTTGCTTCTTAGTATCTATAATATCAATCTTGAATTTAACATCTATGATGCCTTCAGCTAATGTTGCTTCCTTTTATGAGAACAAGAACAAGTTAAAAATATGTTTACACTATCAGATATGGATGGACACGGCCAAAAACATAATGAAACTAAAGCCTAAAAGTATTTATCTTCTATTATAGAATCAGAATTCCAGATTCAATTAATTATCAGCAGCCCTGGAGTTACTAACTTCTATGATGATGAAGGACTTAGGCCTATATCTTGCAATAGCCATTGTAAAAAGGTTGATTTTGTGTAAATTCTCAGGTCATGCAGGTCACTGCAACCACAGAACGGGCTCAAATCAGAGATAACCGGACTTTTGGTCAGTTTTTCTGAAGACGTTTAGACACCTACCCAGGAATATTTTTCAAGCAATCTGAATTTGCCGCCCTGATGAAAACGACGCAGCTCAGGCAGACAACAGGTTGATCATTAACTTACATCTGACTTGGAATGTGCTTAAGAAGATTGACCTCCCTGCTGCATTAACATATCAGTGCTCCACCTGCAGATTGCTCTGGTGCGAGCTGACAGAAATGACAAAGATTAGTGGATAGGTATCACAACATTTTTTTTGTGATATCTGTGTTGATTTGAAAAAATGGGTTTCCTCATTCCTCTGCTAAATCATCCAAAGTTTACTACCGGTAGTTTTAATTCACTGGCAAATTCCTGCAAATTTTAATTTAAATTTCATACCTCAAAAATGCAAACTTAACCTTTTGGATGTTTGTGATGGTCATACAGAAAAGGCCTTCTGTCCTTTCATGCTAGGAAAATTAAAACCTTCACACTTAAGACAGGCAGACCTCTGGAATGTTAATTTACTATCCTTAGTGGAATGAAGAGACACCCAGAAACATGAAACAGAAAGCCATTCGGTGTCTTTTAGAAGGACAAATGAGGGGAGGGGGGATTCTACTGGTAATTTATTGCAATATGAATGAACTTGAAGCAGACTCTAACTATGTGGCTGCCTGCTGCTGGGTCTCCTTCATGTGCATGAAGGAGACAGGAAGAAGAGTGAGAGATAGAGGACAGCATGAGGTACATACTAATGAATACCCTCATTAACTTTGCTAAAGGGACCAGGAAGACACACGCCTGCTGAAAAAAAAAACAGACTCCTGTGAAAAATCGCTTCTGGAATGTCGCATTTCCTGTTTGTCAACCGACATACCACCCTCCACTACTGCCTTGAGGAATCTTGACAGGAACATTAAGAGTATTCAAGCAAAACAGAGACTTGCGCTATTGTGTTGACAGGCTGGAATAATAACTCCTAAAGTGATACGGAGGAGCTACTATCATATCAATCTACTTGTACAGACAGGTTTTTGGTGATAGTGCCAATGGTGACAGCTTGCTGGATAAGCCCTGGGTTGTGGCTGTGAACAGAAACGTTTCAGTCCTGCCACAGAAGCTGGGTTAGATTTAGCTCTCTATGTTGACTATGCCATTACAACGCATGATACATATGATATACATCTTTCCTCTAAGGTTCTGGCTGTATGATCAATGACCATCTTTCTACTGGAAAGTGAACCCCTGCTATACTCACAATTCTGTTGTTTTTCTTCACAGTTTTTCCTGTATTTTGATCTATCCATACCTTATTTAACCTTGACAAGCTCCTCGTCCTGCTTAGAAGAAGCATCCCCACTACATGCTGCTTCCACCAATGAAGGAATCACCACATAGGTACCCCAAAACTTTTTAAGCACCAAAAATTGACACTGAATATCAAAAGCACGCTTCACACCAGGAGTCATTTAACATTTTACACTCAGTGAAAGGGTTCCACAATCGTCAGTTACTTTCAGACTGTTCGTGTTATGAGCTGGCTGCAGCAGAGGGAGCATCTACAAGAGCAGGCCTGTGTGTGGGCAAAGAGCTGAGAAACATTTGTCTGGTTCTGTGTGCATGTGTGTTCCAGCGAAAGTCATTTGTCACCACCAACTGCGCGTGGATTAAGAGCAATATTGCAACACAAACTGTACACGGAAATTAGCCAACAGGACCCACTTCCTGTCCTGCTGAGTCAGGGCCAATCACTCAGACACACACACATATACAGAGTGAGTGAGAGAGAGGGCTAGAGGTGGTGGCATGTTCAAATAATCAAGTCTTTGCAGGCAGCAGCTCTGCAGACAAGCTACAGCTGGAGATCCACGTGAAACCTTCCACATGCCCCTGAGGGGGGGGCAGAACCATAAAAAAGGCAAAGCTAAAGAATGAGGTGTACAGAGGGTATCGATATGGCTGTGCATTAAAGGTTAATTTCCTTCAAAGTCAAAGGTTTGCTGTGAAGAATTTAGATGTTTATGTTTAAATAAACCTAACATCTTCTCCCACTGAAGATGATTAAATGAGAGGGTACTGAACTGTGAGCCAAAGAGGTCAGAAGGAATCTAATCTATCAATCAAAACTGAAGACTAATGGGTTTATTTTTTAGTTTCTTTACTTCTTCTGTTAGCTGAAAGAGTGCCTATGAGAATCAATCCATGCTGTGGAACAGCTATAATGCAAAGCCTTAAAAAAATAATCAAGCCCCTTAATAAACTAGATTAACTTCCTTGTATTTTATTTAATTTATTTTTTTTTATCAGATAGAGCAACAGAATGTGGTTTATAAGGTAAAAAAATAAAAGTGTGGTGAATTTCTACTTTGCACCCCCCGTGCATTCTTAATTAACCACTTTTTCAGCAATTTACAGCCGCAGAGAGTGAACATTTTGATTATTCTTCTTTGCAAGACCTGAGTCAGACAGTAGATGTGGCAACTCTGAATGGCAATTTCCAAATCTTGAAACAGAAAAGAAAAGGCGAGCATCCCCACATCATGATGCAGCCACTGTTATGTTTTGCAGCTGGGTTGATGCATTTTATTTTAAAAAGATTATAAATGTTTTCACAGATTTTAATTAAAGACAGGGTGGACTCCATTTACCAATAAGGCAATCTGTAAATAATTGCAGTAGGTTTGATGTAGAAGTCCCAATAAAATACATTAAGGCTGGTGGCTGTTGTAAGACTAAATATGAATAAAAAAAACTTTAAGATTATGAATTACCTTGCAAGGTATTAACCCTTTACTTTGGGATCTTTTAAAGTCAGATATCTAGCTTTATGAAGAGGACATGGGGGACCTGTTGAGCATGACTTAATAAAGCATTTCTTCAAAAGCAGCTGGAACATGTGCAGGGAGGATGTGACTGATTATTCTGCTATTTGACATGCTATGAGACAGCTGACACTGGGTATAAACAGCAGTGGTTATTTCTCAGGATGGATGAAAGGTTGGTGTGTGTGTGTGATGATTAAACACATCTGTCTTGCATTATTCAAGGGTCGCTCTAGACTAACTTTAGTTTTCACATGAGCAAAACCTTCCTGTATGGTTTCTGTTGAAGGGTTTAAGTCTTGATCTGCAGCCAATCATATGTTAGATGGTTTACCTGCAGGTTATTAGAATCTATGCTGGACTTGTCTGTATTTTTCCATAACCATCTGTGCTTAAAAGAGCCGTTTCCTCTTGACTGAATTAATGGCATACCTTGATCAGGCTGCTGCGTCGTGGGATCGTCGCTTTTGAAACAGACTCCGTGGTCTCCCACGTCGGGGATTCGCAGCTGGATTGGTGTTGGACCTTCCTGGCGGCGTCCGACGCGCTGCAGCTTCCATTTGACACAGGCTCTCCTCCTCCTCCTCCTCCTCTGTGCGCCTCCGCGCTCATCCCCGCGCTGGCCCCGCCGCACGCTGCCCTCCAGCCTCCAGCAACCGGTGAGCAGACGTCGGTCTTCTTCTGCGTCCCGAATTCAGACTTGGAGGCACTACTTTTTTTTTTTTCCTTGTTGGTTTTTGTTACTTCTTATGAGAAGCAACGGGGCTCCCTACGCAGCTGCTTCGCACACGGACGCAGGCGTGCCATCGCGTGAAGTGAGCGATCAGTGAAGCACCAAGAGGGCAGGAAACGTATTTTTCTCTCTCTCTCTCCCTCCCTCACCCCTTCTCTCTGACTAAATGAGGGACGGCGACCAAACGCTGAGAGCGACAGCAACACCAAAGAGCGACACACCTTCCTATCCGTCACATTCCTCACATCTCCGTCACAGCTGGATGTGCGCCTGCGTAAAAACATTTCAGCAGCTCGGAGCTGATCTGCTTCTCTATCCAGCTGCGCGTAAAAAAAAACAACCAAAACCTCAGCTCAGTCTGAAGCCTGCTGATGATGACTTTTGCACTTCCACTGTTTTTTCTGCTTGAACTCAAATATTATCTTTATAGAAAGACTGTTTTAGTGTGGGAGAAATCAGCATAGTTTCCATTTACTTCTTGTTGATATCAAGGAATCATTTTCTTAATCTCTAAATTCAATTCAGTTTACAGACCTCATCTCAAGACACTTTACAGTTCACTAGATCATACAGTCAAATTGATTCATGGTTTTCTATCTAAGGAAAACGAGTTGAATGCATCGACTCATTGACTGGAATGCAATCCCTCACACTAAGCATGCTTGTAGCGACAGTGGAGAGGAAAAACTCCCTTTTAACAGGAAGAAACCTCCAGCAGAACCAGGCTCAGTGTGAGCAGCCATCTGCCAAGGCCGACTGGGGTTCAAGGAGACAGAAGCAGAGATACAAAAAGCAGCTGTAAAAGGCGGCCCCGTCCAGGAAACACACAGCCATGCAGACGAGCTCCGAGCCAGCTCCCATGCCAGAGGTTGTTGAGAGTACATCCAGCCAGTCACAGCCAGAGAAACAGGACTACACTGGAAAAACAGGCCGATCTCCAACATCTATAAACTAGGGTGTTGATGGCAGCAGCACAGCAGATATTTCCCAGGATGGTGTCACAGTCAGATAAACTAAATAAGAAAGATGTACATGTTTTACAGTATGTCTTGCACAAAAGGTATCCTTCATCTCTACCATTTTCAGCACCATTTTCAGTCAAGTTGCATGAAGGTCCTGGGTTCGAATCCTGATCTGAGTACTGTCTGAGGTATTAAGAAGAAAAGAATTGAGGAATGGCATTGTCTAAATAATTTTGCTGGCCATATACTTCTTCCCATTAGCAGCAGAATTATTCATATTTTTTGGAGGGAGGGAGACATCATGATAAAAACTACTCAATCCTACTACAAATCCTTTTACTTTAGAATTACACTCACCTGTGCAGGGTATTTTATAGGACTATTTAAACACAAACAGACAGTTAAAGCCCTACTTCTGACTCACTGAGACTCTGCAGTGTTAATATTTGTAAACAGCTGGAACAATTGGGCATAGTATAACTTCGCTGATGCAGATGAAAGGTTGTTTTTCCAGTGCTGTTATTCAATTTTCAGTTCTTTTTTAAGGAGGGGGCTTATTTCCCCAGTTTATCATCATGTTTTTATTAGCATCATTTAATAGCGAAAAAAGTTATGTAATAGTTTTTTTTTCTGCTCAGTAATAAAACTGAAGGAATGTAATTAGTAATGTAAATGTTATGGACAAAGATCCATTTGGGCTGCAAATATTTGTACAACATGTAGGATTACGATTATTTGTATTATGACCCAGACTGAACTGTAGCTTTGGAGCAACAAGGTTCTGGGTTTCGACTCTGTCCAGGGGTCTTTCTGCATAGAGTTTGCATGTTCTCCCTGTGCATGCTTGCGTTCTCTCCTGGCACTCTGGCTTCCTCCCACAGTCCAAAAACATGACTGTTAGGTTAATTGGCTACTCCTCTTAATTGCCCGTAGGTGTGAGTGTGTGCACGGCTGTGTGTCTTTGTGTTTTTTGTTTTGCCCTGAGACAGTCTGGTGAGCTGTGCAGGGTGTACCCCACGTCCTGCCCATAGACTGCAGGAGATTGGCACCAGTCCCACTGCAACCCTGACGAGGACTCAGGGAGAGAAGATGGATGGATGTATTATGACCCAAGGTCAGTAGTGGTTCTAGACCAAATTTACCAGGGCGACCAAGTCAGGGCCATTGTTTCTTTCAGGAAGGCACAGAGCAAAATGGAACAAAAAGCAGGGCAATAGTTCCTCATTTGATATATTAAGTGAGATGCAGAACCAAAAAGCCATTTGCGCTTCTGAAGACCTCAGATATCAGATGAAAACTGTGAACTATCCATGCCTAAGTTGAATAACAAAGCAGCAACTAAGTCCAGATGTAACCAACAAGGAAATAGGCCTTTTATATTGTTTTGATTTAGTAAGTCTAATCTCTTGCAAAGAAAACAACACTGTTTTATTTGTATGGTAGTTTCTACTTTATGGTGGAAAAACAGCAATCAGTCCATCAATTCCTTGGAAACAAAGTCCAGTGGATTGCTTTTTTTTTTACTTTTTTCTAATGACTATGACCTGGATGACTGAGAATCTTCACCAGCATTATTACCCACAGTCCTAAGCTCAACTTAGTATGCATATAAAGTACTCCTGTCCACAGTCATTTTCTGCAGCCTCTCTACAAAATGGACTAGTTACCAAAAAATAGAGAAATAAGGATAGAAGGTCCATGTATGTCTGAGTGGATATACCAGACCATTAAGAGCTGGATATGACAGTGACAACTGTGGCTGAAAATGAACATAAAATACCCATCAGTTATTCTGAGCCTGGGGCTCCATGGAAGCTTAATACTCATGGTGAAGATCATGAAACGAGGACAGGTAAGCCCACAGCAACAAAAGAGGTGCTTGTTAACTGCCTGAATGAAATTAAGACCACACTCACTGCTGCCACCTTGGACCACACTATGTTACAATGCTGCTGTTATAGAAGTCGTACATAAAGGCCTTCTTTAAGGTTCTTGTGAACAACAATAATTCCTAGAAAGCTGGAAAGAAACTGGGGCAGTTAGATGAAGTTAAAATAAATGTCAGTGGGATAAATATGGTGTACTTTGAGGGAAGAAAAGGCAAAAACCAGCTGAAGAGCAACAAAACATTATTTATTCCCATGCTAATGGTACAGGATAACTTTCCAGTGCCAATTGACCATTAGATGAAGTACTAAACAGATATAAAATATGAAATATATTGAAAAGAGCTATTTAAGATGAAAAATATCTAGTGTTTTTTTGATGGCTTTATAATGTTTATCATTTGTGAGAAAACAGTAAATTATGAATAAGGGAATTTAATGTATGTAAAGGCTATAAAATCAGTACTAAATGCTCAATTAATGATCCAACATATTATTTAATCAGGTTAGCCCTCTACAATGACAGTATCTCAAGGTAAAAAAAAAAACAACAACAGTTACAGTATTTAACATTATAGAACCTCCATGCTTTGCCTTTGCTGCCATCTAGTGTTAAAGATGGAGGAGGGGGGACTTACATACACACACACAGTAACACACAAGAATAACACACACACACAAGAACTAAAATAAAAGCAAATTGTTTAGTGTAACAAAAAAAAAAAAAAAAAAAAATCCACCCAAATAAAGCATCACTATAACAAATTTCTTCTCAAGTAAGAGTGAAAAAGTATTTGGTAACAAGGCTACTCAAATGTTGAGTACCTAAATATCAGACAGTCCATATTATAAAATTGTGTGTTAATTCTTTTAAACATATAATAAATAAATTAATACATATGAGAATAATTTAAGAAAAAGAAAACATTCAAGTAAAAGACTAACTCCAGAGACAATATATACTTTTTACTGTACATTATTTTGACCTCCATCTCATAGAGGTCTTAACAGATAACATGATTAAAACAACAAAGTATGTATACAAAAAAGAATACTTATTTTAGTGAAACTTTTACTGTCTGTGTTCAGTGCAGTTTAGGTTGAAATGTTCTTTTTATTTATCCAGTATAGGCAAGGCA